GAAAATCACCCTAGGGTGCCCCCGCTCCGTCCCAGCGGCGGACTCATAGATTCCAAGGCCAGGAGGGATCTTCTATCTAGTCTAGATCTCTCTGAGCTTCTGTCTCGTCTGATCTAGAAGATCAGAGAGATCTAGAGTATCTAGTCAGACCTCCTGCAGGACGCTGGGCCTAGGATGCAGGGAGGCGGAGGGAGGCCTGCGTTTCGCCTGCCTTTTACAAGCAGGGCAGGACCTTTCCTTGCCCTCTCCCTCTCCCCTGTACTGGGTAGGGCCAAGCAAATCACTGAGTACAGGATCTCCAGATCAATCTTTAATTGGTGCCGGGTGATGGAGGCAGGCTGGGGGGATTACAGGGCCCATTTCCCTGTCAGCCCGGAGGGGAGAGCCCCCAAAGCCCTTCGAATGGATGCCAACTGCCTCTGTGCTCTTCGGCCCCGGGCTAATCGGTTCCTGTTACTAACACTTCTCCTGGGCGCTCTCTCCCACTTACAATTGTCTTTCCTGCTTTACCCTGGGCTCTGGGGCTGCTCCTTTATCCCCCAGTGCGACAAGCATCCGTCCAAGTCGACCTTGGGGCTGCCCAGCTGCACCGTTCCTAAGCAGAGAATCAGTAAATCCAAGACCCTGCCTCCCTCCTCTGCTGCCGAGCGGGCAGTTGGTTTAGCCGCAGCCCCCGGAGCGATTAAACTTATCTCTGCAGATAAAGCGGCAGTGGCACTTTCGCCTCGGCCTCCGAGGAGCCAGGCCTGCAAAGGCAGCAGCTACTGCAGCATGGGAAGAATTGCGATCTCAGCTGGCCAGATGCCACAGCGACGGGCCCGGTCAGAGAACGTGGATGGAGAGAGATCAGCAGGCTGCCTGGTGTAGTTGGTGCCACATGATTCTCCTGCAAAAGGCGCCTTCCTTTTTCGCCAACCCCTGTAGAGACCCCAGGACCCACCGGGAGCCTGACTTCTGGCACGTCGGCCTGAATCCAGCCCTGGCCAGACCCCACTGAAGTTGGTGCTGACTCCAGCCAGGGGCAGGTTCATGGGCTGAAGCCAAGGAACTGCTGCCGTCTCGGGCTGAGGAGCAAGGCCAGCACGATGCTCCGTGCCGGTTTCTGGCCCCGATGCAGGACTCCCGCTCCGCCCCTGGCTGACATCCAGCTGGGTAGAGCAGGGCTCAGGCTTGCTAAGCCAGCTGGCCGGTGCCCACGCTCTGCCCTCCTGTAGAGCAGCACCCAGGCCCCAGAGCGCTGACGCTCGCCCATGAGCTTGGTGACAGCCCGGGGAGGGAGGTCAATACACTTAGCCCATTTCAGGAGGGCACTGGGGCAGCTGCAGGTATGGAAGAGAAGCCTCCAGTTGAGGAGCCTCCAGTTTAGGATGCCCCTCCTGACACACCTGGGGCCTGATTTTCAGTGGCACTGGGCATCTGCCCCTGACTCCAGCTGCCGCTGCGGGTGCCCTGCCTCTCCGAACACCAGCCCCCAAAGAGCTTCTAGTTCAATGGTTCGCAACCCATTTACTGTGGGTGGGTCGCATGGGCAGCTCTCTATGTGGGACACAACCACACAATATACACACTCCCTGGATGGCCCTGAGGATGTCACATGGGCCACAGCTGTGTGCGGATTGGGCTGCAAGTGACCCCCGGGTCGCAGGTTGAGAACCACTGCTCTAGTTGGACAGACAGACAGATGGAGGCACCCATCATCAGAGGGCACATGGGAGCCAAGTCTCAGATTCCCAAAGGCTTCCCGGCACCTAACTCCCATTGAAACCAGTAGGATTTAAGTACTGCAATACCTCTGTGGATCTGGGCCAAGCGCATCAGCAGTGGCAGAGCTGGGATCCAAAGTCAAACTCCCCCACCTGTGCTCAGGCCACACTGCTGCCCCAAAGGCGGGCTCAGGCATTCAGACTGGTTTGTCAGGGTGCAGGGGGGATTGGGGTTCCCAGCCATCCAGGAAAGGGGGGGTTGAGAGACACCCTCCTGTGCCCCACCCCCACTTTAAGCCAACCTTGGCTCTCACCTGGAGGGAAAAGCTGTTAAACCAAAGCACCAGCTGGGAGCCGAGGCTCAGCGCATGCCAGGCAGCGCCCCGGCCAGGCACTCCGTGCAAAGATGGAGGAGAAGCCACTGCAGATAACTCTGTGCAAACTGTCCTTCGCCGGGAGCGGTTATCATGCCAGGAGGGGGAGAGGCAGGGAGAAAAGGCAGCCAAGGTGGCCTTGAGCTCTCGCCTGGAACAAACAAGCAGTCTCGTCCCCACCCAGCTGGCCGGCCGGCTAGGGGAACTGGCTCAGAGCCTGTCCCCAGGCGTTTCAGCCAGCTCAGCATGGCCCCACCCATGGGTCCGGCTCACCAGAGCCTACGCTGAGGTCACAGCTCCGTGGTTAGCCCCACCACCCTGCAATGCTGCTGCCCTGGTCGGCCCCAACGACCCTCACCCCTGAGCTGAAGGGTCCCTCGCCCTGACAGGGCCAGGGTCTCAGAGGGGACAATGCAGGGGGAGGGGGAGTCCCAGCAAGGTGGAGGAGATGCCGTAGCAAAGTCCCGAATCTCAGAGCTCAGGAGTGGAGTGGGGCAGGAACCAGCTTTCCCATCCCCCACACCGTTCCCATTCTCCATGAGGAGGAAACCGAGACCCTTCGACGGTGTGTGGAGAGAGAACGGCCCCAGAGCAGCCAGGAGCCCCGTGGTTAGGGTAGAGTAGCTGCTCTGGGGTCCTGCTCTCTCCCCTCTACCAGAAACTCCATCCTGGACCTGAGAACCCTTCCCAACACAAGTTTTGTCCAGACAAACCCTGCCCCATGGAAAGTTTCGGTCTCAACTTGTCAGAAATCCCTGACCAAAACCCCAGTCCTGCTCAGTTCTCGTGGCTAGAAGCTGGGGGTGACTCTTGTCCCCAGGAGCCAGGTTTTACCTGGTTGCAATTAAGCCAGGTCATTAGGCTGAAGTATTTATTGACAGAGGCAGTGTGGTCGAGAAGGCAGAGAACCACCCTGGGACTCCGGAGACCTGGATTTGTTCCCGGCTCTGCCAGTGATGGATTGTATGACCATAGGCAAGTCACTTCACCTGCCTCCATTTCCCCACCCACCCTTCGGCTGTTTAGATTGGGATCACGTTGGGGCAGCCGCTGCGTATTTTGTGCACATCCAGCACCGGGCACCCTGGGTCCCGCTCGCAGCTAGGGCCTCTGTTACCGGGAGGCCAATGATATTTAATAAACCTCCCTGATGACAGGCACCGTCCCAAGCTCTGGGGCCCTGGCCGTGCATTTAAAAACCACAGCACCAACATGGATCTCAGACACAAAACCATCTGAGACCCCGGCACTGCCAGACTGTCTCCCCCACCCAGCTGATCCTCAGTCACATAATACGGCAGCTTAGGACCCCTCCCCACAGCCCTCCCCCCTGGCAGCTCAGACCAACTGGCTTTGCAGCATACCTGGAAAGTCAAGAGACTCCAAGCTTGGGTGGGGGGAGTATCTGCACCTCGGAGAGGCTCCAGCAAGCCCCCTCAATGACACAGGGAGAAAGGCAGGTCCCAAGGCAGTTAGGGAGGTGGAATATGCAGCCCTAACTTCCTCTTGCAGTTTCAAATTAGCTTCTTCACGTCCCATCCCGCCTGGCTCCGCTGTGCCCCGTTCATCAGTGGCCACGTTTCGCCTCGGCCTTTGCGGAGGGGAAGAGGGTGCTGCACGGGTCCTGAAGGCCCCCCACCCTCAGAGGGGCTGGAGTCACACAACAGCTTGCAGGGGGTGATGGGGTCAGGCCCAGCATTCAGCCCTGCTCTTATCAGCGGCTGGCAGCTGAGCTCTTGCACACAGCCGGGGGCACGCTGCTCACTGCCGATAAAAACTGTTATCCTAAAGATGCTGGCAAAGTCCCGGTCAGCAAACAGCCCCTCAGTCCAGAGCTGCAGGAATCCAGCGCCGCCCTCAGCGGCAGGCAAGTCTCAGCAGCTTGGTTCTTTCAGCCCATTCCCTAGTGCCAAGCCTTTGCCACCCTCCACAGATACCCGCTCCCTTACGCAGTGGGTTGAAGGGGGTCGGCACAGATCTCGCCCTCACCAGGAGGGACGCTCCGAGAAGGGGATGCTGCTCTAGCCGGAGCCCCTCCCAATCCCAGGCAGTGCTGGGAGCACGGCCTGACCGGTTAGGAGGCAAGTTGGCTTTTGGGGGCTTGTGAATCTTGCAACCACGAGGAGAAATCCCATTTTCTGCCCCATCGCCGTACCTCCTTGATGAACGTTGCATCCTTACCCCATACAAAGACCACATGCTTAACAGAGCTGGTCTCTTTCGCTCTATGGGGCCTTGGGCAGATCCCACTTGACTCAGATGGCTTGAGGCGTGGGAGTGGGGGCTTATTCGCTTTTGATCAGATGTATGGCATCGCCAACCGGTCCCTCCTGCCCCAGATGAGTGCACAGGCACATGCACATTTCAAATTTGGCTCCTGCAAATGGGTTAAGCCTAAGCTGCTGTGACTGACCACTCAGGCCAGCGATGGAGACAAAATTCAAAAGGCAGTAGGAACCGGAGTGAAACAAACGCACTTAAAATTCCCAGGAACGCTCCTGTCTTGTTAGGCGGTGGGCTCTTTAGGGCAGGGGCGGTGCCTCAGTACAATAGGCCCCGATCCTGCTTTCAGCTGCCACAGCGCTACTAATCATGGAACGGCTTTTGCTTTGCTCAGCCGAAGTTCGTGATGGCGGACACGCAGCCGTCTGCAGAGGGCTGGCACGTGGCTGACACACATCCCCTGCACTTGGGACGCGACGGACCCAAGAGCTCAGCTCCTGTTTTAGATACCTTCACAAGCGGCCAGATTTTCCAGCGTGCACTGAACAAGGGTCACGTGGAGCCGAGGCCTAGGGGGGGCTCTCTGCCCTGGGGGGAGTTTCACTCTCCAGGAAGGCAGAGCAGACCCATTGCTCTAGCTAGTTTCAGACGCAGGCGTGTGATTCGAAGCAGAGCGCCCGGGGAAGGAAATTAACAGGCATTTGGGAAATAAAAGTCAACTTTATTTCTCATCAAAACAGAATTGGCAACAAAGTCACAACAATCAGCATTTTCACCCCCACTTGGGAGGAAACCCATCCGAAAACAATAACTTACACAGAATGACGGCTCTGCGACCGGTCCTTCACCACAGCGACAGGCGGGGCTGTCAGCTCCACACACTAGTCACTCCAGGGAAAGCAAGAGTGGGAAGGAGGGAACGGCTGCCGACCGGCAAAGCTCAGACAGTGGGCATTTCACAGTGACCTGCACGAGTGTGAAATGCTGTGGCACATCTGGATAAAGCTACAGACATCTGCTTCACCCCTCCCCCCGCCCCTCCAAAGTCTCACACACTGCAGTCTCCCATCCCTCCCTATTGGCATACGGGGTCTGGCCAACTTCACAAACCCAAATAGATACTGCTGTCCAGAGCTTACCCTGTGCAAGCCTGCCAGCAGGGCAAGCACGTCACCTCGCACACGGGCGTGGGAAAGAGAAGCCGGCTTGAAGGAGCAGGGGCAGCCCATCTCAAACAGTGCTAACCGTCTTGAGTTCACAGCGCATCAGCTGCTAGAATGTGCAGTGCTACAGTGAGGGAAGAGAGGTCCCACGCTTGTGAAAAGGGATTGCCTCTAGCCAGAGAAAAGGAGACACCCACACTGCATTGCAAGAGCAAGGGGTGTGTGTGTGTGTGTGTGTAAAAAAATAAAATAAAAAATACACAAACATAGGGCTGTTTGTACACAAACCTTGCTTTACAATGGAGTGTATATATTATACACATACGTATTACACACGTGCATTGTACCCCAAGGGTGCGTGTACATCGTCCTTGCTTTACAATGCAGCATGTAGAACACACGCGATATCCTGCACCGTGTAATGCTTTCCAAAAAAAAGGAACGTGACCAGAGAAGATCTGCCCCCGGGCAGAAAAAGTGAGTCGTAAGTTTCAATTGCTCTATGCCTGGTTCTAAGTGGACATCACCCCAGAAGCATTTGCCCTCTTTGCAGTCTCTCTTGCAGCAGCCGGCAAGTCCGGCTGATTTCGTTTGTGTTTCTAGCTAATTGAAATATTGACAACAATTAAGAAAGACCCTGAAAATCCCCACCCAGTTTGACTCCTGCAATGAATGGCTGGTTCTGGTGTGGAGTCCACAGTGGAGCTGCTCACAGCCCTCCTGGGTGGACTCAAGAGGCAAATGGTCCCTCTGTCTTTGGCAAGAGGAGGGAAACTCACCCACGTGCAGAGGTTCTAGCATTAGGCTGATGCACCACCTACGACCCGCTTCAGAACAGAGGGAGGTAAGTGGGACATAGGCCTCGTTGAGGGTGAATTTACCCTCAGGGCCTCTCGACCTACCAAGAACAGACATGGGACACTGAGCAAAACAGACCCAAAACGACGGGCACAAAGAAAAAGGCCTCGTTCAGAAAGCATCACACAGTGTATGCTCCCCACCTCCAGCACACACCGCCTGCATCCTAGGACCTCAGAGCAAGGGCTATTTCGGAGACAAGACTTTTCAGCAGCACAGAGGACAGGGTGCCTGACATGGGAGGGACATAGGTAACGCGGGGGCTGAAACCTGGGACACTTGAGAGAGGGGACGGAGGTGGGTGGGGCGAGCGGATGAGGCTGGTTTCAGGACGAAGCCAGGTACAAGTAGCAAGAGGTGAAGAGAGCAGCCTCCAGGTTTGCTTCACAGTTTCGAACCTCCGTGCGTGGCTAGGGCGGCCTGGTGCCAGGAGCGGGAGGGACACACGTTCTGGGGAGGTTTCACCCTTTAGCTCTCTGCACACATGGTACAGACCCCCCCCCCTCCCCCACCGCGCTGAGCAGAAGAAGGGGAGCCAGAGTTGCACACGCCATGAACCATGAGGGCACAGGATATGTGCAAGACAAACGCGCCCAGGTTGCTGCAGCCTGCCACCCCCAGACAAGACCTGCTTCTACTGGGCACTTCCAAGCCCTGAACTGGAGACCCCTGTCAGCAGTGCAGGGGATCACGTCCACAGGGGCTCTCCCCCAGGCCCTGACAGCAGGCGCTTCCGGCCCAAACTCTACTGCCCGGGCAGAGACGCTCACACCCAGCGCACGGCCCGACTGGGGTGCATCTGCAGGGCTGAGCACTGAGCAAGAGGCCGTGGGCTTCAGGTTACCCTACCCGGACAAGCGCCTGCCCGCCCTTTGAGGCAGGGGCTGTGCAGAACAGCCCCACAGACTGGGGCATCCCACCCGTGCCCCCATCTCCCTCCATCCCCAGCCCAAAGACGTTCAGTGCAGCAGAGCTCTGGAGAGCAGGAGCAGGGGACACTCGGCCAAGAAGAAATGTAGTGTGGTGGCCATGGCAGCAGCATGGGGCTGGGGGAATTTGTGCCCTTGGCCCTCCCCACCAGGCCCCGTGGGAAACTGCCAGTGCCCGGCGGGATGGCTCTCAGCCTTACATCAACACACGCAGAGAGGCCACGCCGGGCCATGGGGGCAGGGAGAAGAGAGACGCACGTTCGTGGGAGCCGGGTAAGCCCGCCGGCAGAGCGCCCTTTGGTACGAGGCAAGGCCCTTCCCTTCCCCTCAGCAGCCCCAGGCCCGGCAGCTCCGTTCTCTGCTGTCCATTGCACTAGTCACCAGCCTCAGGACGGGCGTGCGCGGCACAGAGGGGGCAGCAGCCAGCGAGGGAGGGAGGGAGCTCAGTCTGATTTCGTTACACGCTAACACTATAAAGGCACGTCCGCTTCACGGCAGCGCAGGAGTCCTGCTGTGGAGTTCGGCCCCGGCCGGCGGCCCGGCTGACAGGCCCCAGGACGGCTCCTGCCGGGCAGTATCCATGGGAACACTGGGCATGGCGGAGGCGGTTCTTCGTTACATGGGGAAGGGGCTGAGCAGTTCGGTGTCTAACGGCCCCGGGGAGAGTGGGGGGAGGAGCCCCCTGGGCCCATCGCTCCAGGGGGCCCAGAGTATTTCCCGACGGACCCCAAACCCACGGTGAAGTCAGGCTCCCCTGCAGTGCGGCACGTCCCTGGCAGGGCGTGGGGAGCGCAGCCCCGTCAGGTCATGTAGCGGGTGATGGCTCTCAGCGCGTACAGCAGGGCCGCCTGCATCCGGGCCTCCAGCAGGAGCAGGTTCATGTGCACCTGGAACAGAAGGAGAGGGTGCTCAGGGGGAGACGTGCAGCGACATTGGGGCCTGCCAGCTCCCCTTCCTGCCACGAAACGGGAACGCGAGGGGAAGTTGGGATCCATCAGGGCCCGGGGAGAGCCTAGGACAGCAAACGGATGGAGGATCCCCTCTCCCCCCGGTGTAGGGCTGCACAATGGTCCTGGTGCTTGGGGCGGCCACTTTGGAGAGGGGCGGCACGTCCAGCTGTTCGGCGGCAAGTCCCTCACTCCTGCTCGGAGCGAAGAACCTTCCGCCGAATGGCCGCCGCAGATCGCGATCGCGGCTTTTTTTGTTTTGGTTTTTTTTGGTTTGGCTGCTTGGGGCGGCCAAAACCCTGGAGCCGGCCCTGACTGGGTCAGGCTGGGCACTGACTGGACAGAGGGCTCACTGCCAGGATCTGGGGAGATCTTCCAGCAGGGATCCTCCCCCCCATGCCAGTGCCACAACAGTGAGGGTAGGATGAGCACAGTGGCCTGGGCCAGTGGTAGCCCACTGGGGGCTCCAAGCAGGAATCGTTTCAGGGTCCCGTCCCCCCCCCCCGACTAATAATTAACAGGGGGCCCCCACTGAGCTGCTTGGGGCCCTAGCAATTGCTGAGCGCTGGCCCTCCCTGGGACCACCGTGGCCGTGACAAGCTGCTCCGCTTTGCTCAGTCGCTCCCCTCATTAAGCGAGGAGACCACCTCAGTGCCTAGCCCTGCTCCTGGTGTCAGGGTTGCCCCCACGCCAGGGCAGTGAGGGGACGCACCTTCTCGGAGTGCTTGAAGTGTCTCCAGAAGTGGGTGTACATCCGCCTGGTGGCTTTCTCTGGGTAGCAGGCCACGGTTTTGATGTAGACTTTCAAGCTGCGCTCCAGGAGCTGGTTCACCTCCCCGTAGTCATAGTCGTCGTATCTAGGAGGGGAGGGGAGAATCCACATTACCCTGAGAGGAGACCAGGGCCACAGGGTCTCAGCCCAGCTCCTCCTCCCTTCCTTCCCTCCCCCTCCGGCAGCCCTGGCGCCTGAACTCCCCTCCCCATCACAACGGGTCTGCGTCCCGACCGCAGGGACAGGGCCTAGGAGCGAGATGACCCCAGCAGGCCATCCACACACAACTGTGCCCAGAGTAACTGGACCAAGACCACCAGCTTACTGCAGATGGGCAGGGCTTTGGTCACAGCTGCCCATTGGCTGGATTCGAACCAGGCCCCAAAGCCTGTTCCCAGGGACCCTCCGGTAAAAGCTCAGCTGGAGTATCTAGACAACAGGCCTGGGGCAACCAAGGAAAGAGGGGAGAGGAGAAGTGGGTGTGTCTTAAGGCACCATGGGCTCAGCGGCTCCCCAGTTCCCTACCTGATGCCGAAGACGCAGTGAATGTAATTCCAGATGGCCCTGCGGAGCATGGTGGTGTCCACCCCGCTGTGCATGGCAATGGTGTTGTAGGTCAGGTTGTAGACGACCTGGAACTTCTCATCCAGCAACTGCCCCATGTCAGGGTACAGGCGGTTAATCAGCGAGTAGCCGTGGTCTTCCCAGGTGTAATCCTGCCAGGAGAAGGATGCTGGGACAGAGGCTCCAAGACCCCGACGGGAGCAAAGGGCCTGGCCCAGTACCCCATCCACAGGAGTGGGAGTCTCTCCGTGGGCTTGGGGTCAGGCCTCCAGAGAAAACATGAGCTTGGGGCATAGGACACAGCTCCCCAGAAAGGGACCGGCTGGTGATGGCTAACCCAGGGCCAGGCCCACAGACCGTTGCCAGCCCCAAGTATGGCCCCACAGTTCTCAACGGGATCAGAGGCCCCTCAGACTGTCCTGCTGCTCCTGCCCTGCTCTGGCTCCACGTCTCTCCCCTCCCCGCGGCCGCCGGGCAGCTGTATCAGGGGAGCGCTGCCCGCAGGAGGTACCTGAGCTCGGAAGGTGGGTGGGGCCTGCTCTCCTTTCCTCGTGAAATCCTTGTATCCAAACTCCGGATCCTCCACGAAGCACAGGACGTTGGGAGGCAGAGCGTGCTCAGCAATGTCGACTGGATGGGACACAAAAGCCCACAGGGACGTTAGCGCCTATCGCTGCCCCGCGGCAAAGAGCCACCCAAGAAACCCCAGAGCCACCTCCCACGTTACTCCACAGCTGAGTCACCGGCACAGTCCTCTGCAGAGCAAACCTGCTGCCGTGATCTGCCCTAATGGGAGGTGCAATTAACGCACACCGCACTGTTCACCGATTACCCGTGAGATAATTACATCCGACAGCAGGAATCTGTGACAGCCCTTCCCCGCTCAGGGAGCGGAGCCAGTGTGGAGGGAGCTGCTGGCAGTCCCCCCAGGGACGATTCCTCCCCCCTCTCCCGACAGCATCTGAGCATCATGCACCAGCACCATAGCAGAGAGGCCTTGTCCTTCCCACCCCCCAAGCTAAGCCAGTGACAGGCTATGGCCCATGCAGAAGAGCCACCGAGCCCCTTTGGACCTGGCTGGGACGTGTGCCTCTGCCTCTCGCCCGCCCCATCCTCCCTCCTCACCCGAAGGGGCCACAAGCAAGCTCTCCGTCTTCTCCAGCTCGAAGCGGGTTTCCATCTCCTCCTGTGTGACCCCCTCCTCCTCCAGCTGGCACTCCTGAAGCAGCTTCATCCTCGCCATCAGCACCTCCACCTCCTGCATGGCATCTTTGCCCTGGGCACGGGGAGAGAGCGAGCGGGCAGGGTCAGCACCAACAGCGGTTGGGAGAGGGATGCAGCCAACTTCATTCCAAGCACAAAACACCCCCTTTATCGAGGTGCGGAGAGGAGCCCTTGGAGGGACCACACGCCTGTTATCCAGAGCAATCAGCTGCTGGCAATGGGACGTTCTCTGGGGCTTCGTTCATCCCTACGGTGTGATGCCAAGCTGGCACTGTGCCCAACACTATTCAGGTACGACCCGGGGCCCTGTGCCTCTATCTATTGTGGGCTAGATTCTGTGCTGCACCCCTAAGGAGACACTGCAGAGAAGGCACAGCCCAAGGGAAGGGGCAAGTCACCTTTACACCTCCCAGATTGGACTCCAGGGCCTGGTGCAGCCACCAGTGTCACTTAGAGCAGCCCTGAGGCTGCTCTAATGTATGGTTTGCCTCCCCAGGCTGCCTATGGGTTGCTGAACCACCCTGAATAGCTGCAATGCAAAAGGTTCGAGCAACTTCTCCATCTTCTCACTAAGCCCCACTCCCAATCCACCCCTACACTGGGGTCTGTGAGGAAGGCCCGGTGGATGGCAGCCCTTGGATGCTCCTTGGGGCTGTAAGAGGCCATAAAGAAGCCACATCCGCAGAGCAGGCGTTGCAGCTGGGTCAGAGGCAGTTTGGGCGTTAGCCTGCTGCAATCTCAGCAGGAAGGGGGGTGCACCTGCTCTCCTGGGGTTTGGTTGGGGAAGGGTTTGCAGGGCTGCAGATTTAACCCCCTCCCTGGTAGTCGTTCGCACCAGGCTCCGGAACTAACTGCCGTGACCAGCACATGGAAAGCCTGGTAGCTGACTGGCCGAGCTCCAAACCCATCCACCCCATGACGGGACCACCAGGCAGCACCAGGAAACCCTTCCAGATTTTTCATGTCATAACTGCCTGGACCAGTCCCACTGTTTCAGGGGTCTGGAGGCAATGAACAGCGTGTTACCGAATGGAAGAACCCAGAGCAATTCCCAGGATGTCAAGCTCCAGGCCGGCGTGCTGAGATCGGGGAGGGGTGGGAGGAGAGAAGACCGACCCCTTCCCTAACCCCTAGCGTTCTGCAACCTCCATCCCAGCTCTTCCACGGCTGGGTGGGCGGCTCTACTGGACACCAGCTACGCATGGACAGGAGGGAAGCTCGAGGGCCCCCGACTTACGCTGGAGCCGCTCACTCCGTCCTCGGAGGCTGGGCTGCTGTCGCAGCTGCGTGGCGAAGGTGGCTGGAAGGCATGCCCCCCCTCCTGGTCGGTCTCCAGGTTGATGCCGCAGCCGAACACGAAGGAGGCGAGCGAGTGGTAGTGCGTGAGGAGCACCAGGGCCTGGATGAGCTCTGCCAGGGACCAGCTGTTCTCGCCTGTCTTCAGGAGGGCCTGAAATGCGCGCACACACATTCCCTGGTCAGCTCTTCCCCAGAGGGGACACATGCGGCGAGTATATCCCCCTCCCCCAACAGACCCAGTGCGGGGCAGGTAGAGGGGAGCAGGGCAGAGACCACGGCCAATCCTCAGCCCCCTTGTGCCCCATGCCTGTGTCAGCACCTCTGGTCGCAGAATCACAAAGGGGAGGAGGAAGGAGGGCAACAGGAAGGGCCTTCAGAAGGGTGGTGCCCCCCCTCATTCCTCCCCACAAGCCAGGAAACGCAGCTGCTCGCTCAGCTGAAGGAGAGCCCAGAGCCATAGGCTCCCCTCCCGCACTGCTCTGCATTCTTCAGTTCAGGGCGGCGCATCCCAGGTACGAGCAAGACACCAAGCTCCCCTTTCCCCCCTTCACTGCTGGGCCACAGAAGAGGGACAAGCAGCCCCTCAGGTTGCTTATTGCTGGGCATACACCACAGCTCCCCTTGCACTCACCTCTATGTGCTCCTTGGTGATGAGCCAGGGCCGGTGAGCCAGGATCTTGTTGATTTCGTTGAGGTTCCTCAGTTTCTGGGGGGCACAGTGCAGGCCTTGTAGCCAGCCCGGGTTCCCGCCCACCTTCAGGAACTCCGCCACGTGGAAGCCAACCAGGTAGGAACACTGGTGCCTGGCCGCTGCCTGGGGGTGAGGGCAGAGGAGACAGCGACTATGGTAAGGACCTTTGAGATGGGAGAGAGCACATCACCTAGCCGGTTCTCCCCCGACCCAGGTCAGCCCAGGGCATTTCCCTTCTGCACAGTCTCCAGGGCCGCGTGCCCCCAAGCCTGGGATGTGGGATGGATTGGGGGACACGGACACACCTCAGTTGTTCTCCAGCTTCTCAGCTGTCTTTCTAATGAGAGGAAAAGTTGGTCTCTAGCTGCTCTGCTTTAGAAAACCTTCCAAACGTGATCCAAGCGTAACTGATCCGGGGGAATCTGCCGAGAGCCTGAAAGGACAGCGCTGAGGTACGAACTGCCCCGTTCTTTTCACTGGGTGCCAACTCGGATGCCCACACTACTTTGCACGCCAACACCGTTAATGATGGGAGTGCTCAAAGCAGGGCAGATCAGATGAGGAAGATCCCCACCAGCGTTGTCCTGAGCAAGGGCTGTTCCTCAAGGGCTAGCCAGGGGCTGGGGTGGGTAGGTGTATCCGTGACCATGGAGAGGCCTTTAGCAAGAGGATGGGGCTGCAGGGAGAATGAAATTTGTTTTCCTGAGGGCGGGCTCAGCTTTCACGAATTTGGGAACGACGCACAAGTGCTTTGGCCAGTGGAGTCTTTACATGGACTTAAGCCAGGGCAGTTCTGATGCTTCCCCCGTCTCTTTCCCCACCCCAAGAGACCCCAGCCGGGGCCCGATCGATCTCACTCTTAGCAAGTTGTTCCTGATATGCAGCCCCAGATTTACCGCTGCTCAGTTCTACCCCGCTACTCCAATTCCACGCCCTAAAGCGCTATGAACTGTTCTCCTACAAGCATTCAGATACTCATCCGTTCCCAACCCTCCCCCACGGCACCCTGGCCCACAGGACCCGAGCGCCTGCCTCCCACCAGAGGCGCTTACCATGATGGCGATGTAGTGGCGCTTGTGGTAAGGCAAGGGCCCATCCAGGCGCAGCAGCAGGTACTGTGTCTTCCAGAAGCTGGCCAGGTACTCCGGGTGCAGCCCCATCACCATGGTGATGTTATCCACCCTCCCGGCAGAGACGAAGGCCTCAATGAAGAGCTGCCGCTGGGCCCGCTCCGTGCCCTCCTGCAGGATCTGCGGGGAGAGAGAGAGAGACGCTGAG